CCCTGGCACAGGGTGCCCAGAGAGGGGGTGGCAGCCCCATCCCTGGGAGTGTTTCAGGCCAGGCTGGATGGGGCTCTGGGCAGCCTGATCTAGTGGGGGATGTCCCTGCCCAGGGCAGGGGATTGGAAGGAGATGATCTTTAAGGTCCCTGAAACCCTGACAATTCCATGATTCTGTGATTCCTACAGTCCTGGACTGTGCTTTGTATTATAATAAAGGTGATGTACAACTTTGTTCTACCCTAAAGGTGTTGATTTTCAACCAGTACCAGCTGTAACCACCCATTACAGGGTTAATACCTGGCATAAGGATACATCTGTGGGTTCACACATTAAGTGTTGGTTACTAGACAAGTACAAACATCCTCTAGTTCTTATCTGTCCTATCTGCCTTCTAAATTAATTCTAGCCCACCCCATCACAATGTCTCATTAGTCGTTATCGCCTCCCCCATCTGCATTTACATTAAACAACTCACTTGGCTTTTAACGGGTCTCTTTGTTCCAAAACGTGAAACCTGAGAGGACGCTGCTGACCCATCAATTCTGTTTCTAGGCTTGAGCTGCTGCTGCTCCTCGATTGGAGTCCTCCAGGGACCACCGGGGAAGATCAGTCATGAGGACCCGTCCCAGCAGACTGCCGAGGGCTGCTCTCATCTCCCTAACTGGTTTATGCTTGCACCACTGGAAGACTGAATTTTTGTGTTCTTTCCTTGGTATTTTATGATTTAATAAAGGTTTTGTAGCTGTGGGGATACTGGAATCGCTGCAAAACAAAACAAAATTGCAAGAGAAAGATAATCTAACCCCTTGATCTCACGCTTTAATTCCGCGATCTCTTTAGCAACAACCATGGTTTGCTCTCCACATTTTCCCTTGGCTGGCTTTCGTTAGAACCTGCAAGGGAGGTTGAACAGGACACTGCGACTCCAGCCCCTACCACCAGTAGCAGGTACTGGGCAGGAAGGTCTGACCCCTCTCAAGTGCCCAAAAGGGAGTGGGCAGAGCACCCTGAGGTCCTGGGGTGCTTCCCTGCACCTAGTTCCCCCCTACTCCACCTGCCCCCACCCTCCTGGTCCCACCACCCAGCCAGCAGAGACCAGCACCACCATTTCCACCACCCTTCGGAGCCACCGCCACCACCAGGGCCGTACAAGCCTGATGTGCCACCACCAGTCTCACCAGCGAGAGCCACCGCTGGGAGCAGCTGGTCTGGAGCGGGCGCACACACGGTCTCACACGCTCCCACCCCACCCGGCAGTGGGACCCATTTCCAAGGAAGACACGGGCTGGGCTCCCCCACAGCGTCCCCATGAGCCTCCCTCTGCTGGTGCCTTCTCCTCTGCAGAACCCTCCTGCTCCCTCCCTCTGTTCTCAGTGACCGGGGACAAAAATCCAGCCCACGCTTCCCATCTCCCTTCTCCTCACTGCACACCTCCCGCTGTCTGCGGGTCATCCTATGGGACAGGCTGAGAGAGCTGGGGGTCTCCAGCCCGGAGAAGGCTCCAGGGAGATCTTCCAGCAATGAAATGTGTAGGATGAGGACAATCTTTATAGCGAGGCCTCTTGTGACAGGACAAGGGATAATGGTTTTAAACTAAGGTAGATTTAGACTGGATATAACAAAGAAATTCTTTACAACGAGGTGGGCACAGGTTGCCCTGAGAGGTGCTGGAGGCCCCATTCCTGGAGCCGTTCCAGGTCAGGCTGGACGGGGCTCTGAGCAACCTGCTCTGGTTCAAGCTGTCCCTGCTCCCTGCAGGGGTTGGACTGGATGGCTTCTAAAGGTCCCTTCCAACCTGACGCCTTCCGTGACTTCCCAGTTTATGCCTCCCTGGGTGTTCCCATCTGTCTCCGCGCTCCTCCACCCCCAGAAGAGCCCATCCTCTCCCTCAGGGGTCTTCACCTGCCACCACAGCCCTTCCCCTGCAGGCACACAGCAGGGGAGACCAGGAGACATCACCCGCTGCCTCCTGTGGCGTCCCCTTCCCTTTGGCTGGTGGCTTTGGCTCCTTTTGCTACCAACACATTTGCACCAGCCCCTCGTGCCCCTCACTCGTTTCGCTGCCGGCTGAGCTGCGCCTCTGACGCTGGAGCAACTCCCGCCCGTTCCCCCGGGGCAGCTGAGCGCTTGCTGTGAACCCCCTTCTCTCAGCTGGGCTCAGGCAGGGCTCCCACATTCGGCCACGTCAAAACCTGCCACACTTGCCTCAGTATTGAGAACACTGACATTTGGCAGTCAGTCATGTTATTTAAGGTAAAAAACCCTTCATTTTGGTTGAAATGTCTTTATTCACCCAACACATCACATGAGTCACACCATGTCCCACCCTTGCCCCTTTACCTATAAAACACTGGTATAAAGTCTGGGAGTTTTTTCAGAGGCGGGTTGATTTCCACAGTGTCCTCTCGTGACAGAGTCTGTCCAACAGCTGGAACCCTTGCTCTGCCACAGCTGTTCCGAAGCAAATCAGCTCCGCGGAAGGAAATGCAGCCTTTTGCCAGAAAGGAAACTTCATGGAGAGCCGCAGCAGCCACCGGGGTTTCAGCTCCACCTCAGCTCGCGTGAGCAGGGACCTTTGCTTCTCCCGGGGACGCCATAACGACAGAGGCTTTGGGGTTTTACACAAACCGCCCCGAGTGCACCAACGTTCTTCTAACTCATTTGTACTTAACAAGTAGCAGAAATTGGTGTGAAGTTGCACATCAGCTACGTGGTTCCTTCGAGCCCCACGTCTCACCTGTGGACCTAGTGAACACCAAGGACACTTCACTCGCAAAAAGTTAATCAGCCGACGCAGGACGAAGGAGACTATAAAAGAGCAAAATAAACGGACAGAGAAATGGGCATTAACACACCAAAAACAGAAAAAAAAAATCCAGTTCCAATTATTTTATGGCTCCTACGACGAGCCAAAAATGGAAACCAACTGGCTTGAGACCCACCTGAAATTAAGGCAAATCCTGCTACACCGGGTCACAAGGGTATAAGCTTTAAACATGGTCAGATGGCGTCCTCTAAACACGAAATCATGAAGTTGTAAAATTAAGGTGGAATTAGATCTGTTTATCAGAACAGAAAAAGATTTGCCAGGGCTCCCGTACGAGGTACCCAACTGATCTCGGAGAAGATGATCTCGCAACCGCGTAATATGCTACATCTGTCGGATTTCACAGTTAAAATAGATTTAATTTAGATTTAAGATTTAGATTAAAGATACAGTAAGACTGGCGATTTATCACCGCAGACTTCCTCTTTCC